TGCCTTCCTTTTTTATGAGATAGTCATTGTATTTTACCTATGTTTGACTGCCTGACTGTCTTCCTTCTGGTAGAGTTAGCTTTGAGGCGGCTCATCCCTCCCTCATGATTTGGCTCCTAACAGGCACGCATACGACTTCATCTTAATGGGCTTGACTTAGAAGCAAATGGATCTCTGATTACTCATTGGAGTAATAAGGAAATGAACTTCAGATTATATCTACATATTGAAATGCTATTATGTATTACATGTGATATAATTTATATGATAATATTGAAATGTTCACTATTTGTTCACTCATTGATACATCAATTTATTTTACAAGTATTGTGGAGCTTCTACAATTTAAATACTTCTAGTCCTTTGGTCATTATTTTACTAAATGCCTAAAGTTACATGTTAGTATATAACAAAGTCAGGGATATAATCTGACCCTAGAAATTATTCTTTCCCATTCTACCAAAAGCCTAAACAAACTCCCTAGCAAATGAGTTCCAAGGAATGACCATGGTTAGTATAGTTATCTGTCAATCTTAAACCATGTATATTTACATTATTATAAAATTACTAAAATGTTAATTTGTGACCCAGTTTTAAAAGATCATACATCATGATCAAGTGGAATTCATCCCAGGAATGCAAGGATGTTTCAGCATACACAAATCTATAAATGTGATACATCACATCAACAGAATGAAGAAAAAAAAATATGATCATTTCAATAGATGCAGAAAAAGCATTTGATAAAATTTAATACCCGTTCGTGATTAAAAACTCTCAACAAATTAGGTTTAGAAGGAACACACCCCAACACAATAAAGGCCATATACATCAGACCCACAGCTAATATCATACTGAACAGACAAAAATTGGAAGCTTTTTCTCTAGGAAAAAATATTTTCTTCAGGGATGCCCACTTTCTCCATTCTCTTTAAGCACTGTGCTAGAAGTTCTAGTCTGTGCAATAAAGCAAGATAAAGCAATAAAGGACATTCAAATTGGAAAGGAGGAAGTCAAGCTATCCCTATTTGCAGATGACATGATCCTATACACAGAAAACCCTAAAGACTCCACCAAAAAATGACTAGAACTAATAAATGAATTCAGTAAAGTGGCAGGATATTATATCCACACACAAAAATCAACAGCTTTCTATACACCAACAATGAAATAACCAAAGAAGAAATCAAGATTTGCGATAGCTACCCCAAAAATGAAATACTGGGAGTAAACTTAACCAAGGAGGTGAAAGACCTCTACAATGAAAACTATAAACTATTGGTGAGAAAAACTGAAGAGGACACAAATAAATTAAAAAATATCTTATGTTCTTGGGTTGGAAGAGTTAACATCATCAAAATGTCCATATTACCCAAAGCAATCTATCCATTTAATGCAATCCCTATCAAAATACCAATGACATTCTTCACAGAAATAGAAAAAAATGATCTTAAAATTGGTATGGAAACACAAAAGATCCTATATGGCCAAAGCAGTCTTGGACAAAAAGAACAAAATTAGAGGCATCACACTTCCTGACTTTAAAACATACTATAGAGTTACAGTAAGCAAAACAAACAGCATGGTTTTGGCATAAAAATAGACAAATAGATTGGTGGAATGGAATAGAGAGCCAAGAGATAAACCCATACACCTACAGCCAACTGGTTTTCAACAAAGGTGCCAAGAATATACAGTGGGGAAATGACAGCTTTTTTCAATAAATCGTGCTGGGTAAAGTGGATATCCACATGCAGAAGACTGAAACTAGAGCCTGTCTCTCCCCATACAAAAAATTAACTCAAAATGGATTAAAGAACTAAATTTAAGACCTGAAACTATGAAACTACTAGAAGAAAACATAGGGGAAGGGCTGCACAAAATGGGAGTGGGCAGCACTTTTTTGTCCAAGACTACAAAGGCACAGGCAACTAAAACAAAAATACACAAATGGGACTATATTGAAGTAAAAAGTTGAATTTTCAAATTTTTTCTATCAGTGTTTATCTAGTAGTTATTCTATATATATAGACAATGAGTTAGTCATTAAGAGCAATAAAGAGATGAATAAAACCCAGTCACTCCTCTAAATAAAGGAGCTGATAATCCAGCAGGATATAAGACTTGACAATAGATATCTTGGAAAATCTGAATGTGCCAAGTGTAAAATGAATACAAACTAGGTGCTATGTGAGTACAAAGGAAAGAGATTATTTCTGGCTGGGCCAGGTGTTGGGAGAAGAGGGTGGAGGAGCAGGTTATGGAGTGGGTGGTGGTTGAGCTGGTCACTGAAGGATGAGAGTAGAGTGTGCAGAAGAGGGCCTTCTGATCAGAGGAGTTGTGTGTGAGAAAGAAACGAGGCAGGTGTTTGCAGAGTATAACTGGGTGATGACAAATAGTCTCGTGTGAATGGTTAAGTATATGAGCTGTAGTCATGATACGTAAGGGTTTTATATTTAATATACTTACTGTAAGTTTACCATATATAAAATAAAGTATAATAAAATGTACTTTAAAACCACAATGAAAGCAACAGAATCTTTGTATACAGTGATAACTTACAGTGTTCTAGAGAACTAAAAACATCTTTTTTCCCAACCATGCAAAGGGAATCAATGTCCTTTTTTGTACTCAGGACTTTTTAGCACCTTGTACAGTGCTGGTTACGTAGAAGTTTCTCACTAATCACTGAAATGAATTCAACCTAGTAAAAAATGAGTTGCTGAAGAAGTAAGAGTTTGTTAAAGTGGAGTGCATCAGAGTTTGTTAAAGTGGAGTGCATCAAAGGGGGACATTTTGTTATCCTTTTAAAAATGTGTATTTCATTCAGAGTCGTCACTTAATATGACACCTAAGTTTTATTGCCAGTTGGAATCTTACAATTCCTTCTCACTCTTTCTTTCATTCTGTTCCTGAAGAAGGTGGGTGGGTCAGTTGGAATCTTACAATTCCTTCTCACTCTTTCTTTCATTCTGTTCCTGAAGAAGGTGGGTATACCCCACCCGGGTATAAAACAGTTCAGACATCCGTGGCTCTTCAGATCACAGCAGTGAAGTGTGCATGCTAATTAAATGATTTTGCTATCTTTTCATGCTATGTCTGGTTGAAAAGCAATGTGGTGATTTGTGATTTTTGTTCTAGTAAACATTCTAAATAAAGATGTACAAATAATTTAGGAATGTCTGGAGTCCAGAGAATGGCTGATGGTTGGCTCCACTGGCCAATCTTAATTTATCGATAACATTTAACCAGTGCTTACTGTAGGTAGGTTTTATATATATATATATATATATATATTTTTGTCTTTTGTCTTTTTCCGTGTCTGGCAACGGATCACAACCCTCAGTGTTGCCCCCGTACCGGACTGGGGACCGGCTCTTTTGTCTTTTTCCGTGTCCGGCAATGGATCGCAACCCTCGGTGTTGCCCCCGTACTGGACCGGGGACCGGCAATGGGATTGCAACCCTCGGGGTTACTCCCACGCCTCGCTCAGCCAGTGAGCGGGAACCGGTCTGTATGTGGGATCCGAACCCTCGGGCGGGAGCGCCGCCACGCTTCCCAAGCGGCGCACTTATCCAGTGCGCCCCCAGGCCGGCCCCTGTAGGTTTTATATTTTGATCTTACGTAGTATTCATAACAAATGTATGAGGTCGGTGATTTTATTAACTCCAGTTTATGAATGAGGAATCTGAGTCACAAAGAGGTCTAATAGCATGGCTGTGATTCCGTAACTGATCAACCATGTCTAGGACTCAAGTCCCACCCTTTGACTTAAGTTCTCCATGTTGCTAAACCACCTGTGCCCCACATCCCTGTACTAAGTCTGATCAAGCATGGCTGTGATTCCGTAACTGATCAACCATGTCTAGGACTCAAGTCCCACCCTTTGACTCAAGTTCTCCATGTTGCTAAACCACCTGTGCCCCACATCCCTGTACTAAGTCTGATCGCTTGGTCAGCCCTAAAGCTTTATGTAAAATCTGATCGAACTGCCAGTTCTTGTAATCTAGAGTTTTTTTTGTTTGTTTTGTTTTGTTTTCCCCTGGAAGTATTTCAATTCTGAGGACTTTCAGATGATTCTTATTCTCTCTCTGGGGCAGCAGAGAGTAAACCTTATCCCCTCTTCCTCAATATTCTGTCCCTCCTCAGCCTCATCACACCCCTTGACATACATGAACGGGGTGAGGACGTTACTGCTGTTTGTGGGAGTCCTCATCTCTAGTTCTGGACATAGCAAGACCAGCTACCAAACAGGTCTGACCTTACTTAGGCTCCTGAGCTGTGGAATATGGCCACTATGGACCCTGTGCCTAGATGTCACATAAGAGTAATGTGGCATTCCTGGAGGCCTGGATTCACCATCATTTGCTGGAAAAGGTGTACAGTTCTTGAAATAAAGGGAGTCTAAGGGAGTAGTAGCAAGGGTGGGGATATTAAAAGTGCACAGAAATGGGTCAATGCGAAGTATTTGCTGTATATACACATGCTGCTTTTGTGTTATTAGTGACCCTGGAACAGGGTGGGAGTGCTGGTAACAGCAGTTCACTTTAATTGGGGAAGGATTTGTGAAGGAACAGTGGTTTCAAGAGATCTTTGAAGTATTTCCAACAAGGTGCTAATTGTGGTTGTGGTTTTCCTTTCTTTCTTTCATTGTTTTTGATGGGTAGACTAGCCTACCAGGTGCCACTGAGTCAAAGGCATTCAATGAGAGCCCCATGACCATCATTCTCTATGCAAATAAACCTAACCAATTTCCTTGTACATTTAGAAAATTAAGAAAAATTTTTTTCTAGGGGATTATTTTGCATCTAAACTTTTTACTTTTCTTTGAACAGACACAGTTTGCATTCACAAGAGTTTTGCTTTTACTTGTCCTTGTAAACATTCTTGGTTTTTGTTCTAACCTTTGGTTTAAAAACACTTAAACAAATTCTAGTGTTGAATCATTTATTTTGCTCCCGGCTTATATTGATCTTTCTCCTCTTGATGTGTATTTTCAGGATACCTTGAGGATAGTTTTGTAAAATCTGGAGTCTTCAATGTATCAGAACTTGTGAGGGTATCCAGAAGTAAGTAAATCGTTCTCTTGTTATTTAAGTATACAGTACAATTTAAAATGTTTTATATTTTGATCTTTATATACAGTATGAAGAGTGACCACGCGTTAGGAGAGATTGAGTTGTAAAATCTCAAGTCTTCTGATGAAATCATAAGTGAAAATATTTTGTCTGGTTTTTAAAAAATATTTGCATCCAAGCCATCAAAACTTTCTGTTGTACAAAAATCATTTTTGGGTTGTTCTGATTGCTATGTTATTGGTATTCATTTAATCCACTATTCTCTCTGTGACCATAGATGGTCATTTATATCAAAGGAAGTGTGATTAATTAAATGTTTTCCGTGTTGTTATGATAACCCACATAAGTTTCCTGTAGATAAGTACTTTTTCATTTTACTAACACTTTGGTGGGAGGTTGGAGATGTACAGGATATACACACTAACATACAGAGTGTAGAGGGATGCAGAAATTAACTTTGCAGATTGTAGTTGGATATAGATAGAAAGCATTGTTATCCAAAACAATGTTGGATTGTTTTAACTGGCCGCTTTACCTGAGACACCATTCTTGGCAGGCTGGATCAGATTTTTAGGGTAGGCTCACCTGGTTGGCTACCTAAGCAAGGGGATGTTTCCTCGATTAACTCTTACTTATTACTAGTGTATGCAAATATATCTAAGATACAGATCTTAATGTACTCATTACCTTAAATGAAGCGACTGCTTTCTTCTTGCTCCCTTCTCTGATTTAACTTATCTACTTAACTTTGAGGGGTATGTTTTCACATGACATTTTGATAGAAAGTGTCACATTATGAAATGATATTATTCAGTTGATGTAGTGGCACTCTGATGCTTGTTTAAGATCTGTTTCTCATTTGGGTCAAATTTAGTGGTCATAACAAGAATTCTGATGATCCCAAAAGAACAAAGAGAGAGTAAGTTACTAAAGGTAAGAATAGTCAGAGTTTCAGCATCTTGTTCAGTAAAGGAATCTCCAAGCTAGTAGGTGACTATGTCTTTTGAACCGTAGTTTCTCAAGTAGCTCAGATTTCTAAAGTTTCCAGTGCAAATAGCATGTACAAGGGTACTTCAAAAATTTCATGGAAATATTTGTATTTTCTTTCAATTCTATTTTTGCACTAAACTTTTGAAGTATCCTTATATATCAGGGAGTAATATACATGAACATTTACAACCTTAAGTAACTTGTTTTTCTGTCATAATTCTGGAGTAGATAAACATATACCCCAAAACACTTCTGTCATGGGTCCATTTACTTGGGAGCAGTGTAGGAGATGAAAATCTGATAGTCTTATCCCAGTAGCTCCAGGGTATGTATTTACTGGGCAAGAAGTTTCTTTTTTTTTTTTTGTCCTTTTTGAGACCGGCTGCACCGCGCTCAGCCAGTGAGCGTCGTGAGCGCACCAGTCATCCCTATATAGGATCCGAACCCACGGCGGGAGCGCTGCTGCGCTCCCAGCGCTGCACTCTCCCGAGTGTGCCATGGGCTCGGCCCGGGCAAGAGGATTCTGATGGTCTACTCCTTTGTCTAAGGCAATAGTCTTATGTTTTTCGGAATCAATATGTGATTTTGAAAGGCCTCTGACATTTGAAAATTTTTAATTTGATTTTTAATTTGGAAAGGAATGTGCCTGACTTATTCGTTACCACTTTCCAGCATCACGTAAGGAAGGGGGTATTTGAAAGTATATGTGTATTTTTTCTCCATACCTTTCTTTAGCAGAAAGGTTATGCTGCTATATTTATGAAGCTTATGAAATTATTTGCTTAAATTTTTACTTCTCTAAGTTCCGTGATGTATTTTCATTCTTCATATGAGAAGGGCAGTAGAGTTATTTGTCAGTACATATTCATTTAGTACCTCCTTATAGGTAAGTGCTGTCGAAGGAGAACCACATTGGAACCTTCAAAAGCCCAAAGTGATATTTAGAAAAAAATCTATATTTCAAACATAAAAAATAGGTTAAAAATACCTTTCTATAACAATACAGAAACAAGGTAAATTTAACATACTTCATTCATTCATTCTTAATTCATACTCTCTCTCTTAGAGTTTTTTAGATGATTTGTTATAACAAACATTACTGATTTGTAATTAGTACATTAATTATCTATATTTATTCATTATTTAATTTATTCAGCAAACATTTTATTTGCATCTCTGTATGTAAATAGGGTGTCTCTGAAATGTTTGAGAAGTTATTCTCCTAAGTGTTTTAATATATCCACATTATAATCTTGTTTACACAATTGGACTTCATTGTTTATGAAATAAGGGCCTGCTAAGTAAATATAAACTTCAGCACAATCCTTATGCTGTATATTACAAATTATGACTTCTTGAGGGTTCACGTATGTTAATGGTTTCTGTCCTCTAGGGTTTTACAATCATATGACCCACTAATGTGTATGTTGACTTTTAGCTAATGAAGCTATTCAGTTTTAGGATAGTGATCTCTGTTGAATGATATTATCTCCATCTTAAAAGTTGATTTAGGATCAGCTTTTGGAATGAAGAGAACAGTAAGAGAGATTAAGGGTTAGCCTCTAACCCTTAGAATCTGAGGTTCTTTGGTGCTTCATTTCTAAGAGGATATTGGCAACCTCTTAAACATGATTTGCGGCTTTCAGTGTTCTTGCAGCTCTCTGGGAGAGGTGCTAACTCTGATCTTTGCATCTGATGTTAGTTCTTCCAGAGGCTTTTAAACAGGAATATCTGTCTGAGACTCTTCTTGTCATTAAATAAATTTTGTGTGTACAGTTTTAGCATTTTGGCCATGTTTATTATTAATCTACTTTTCTTTCTGTAATCTCCCATTTAGTGTCAGAGTACATACTAAATTTTTACAGCACTCATGCATAAATCTGTAGACAAATTATTTTTATTGCTGTCTTGATACTCTGGAATAATCCTTCTGGAACAAAACTTAGGAAAAACAAAATTCCTGAAGTTTTTTTTTATTATTATTTTACTATAAATTACACCTAGTTTGTTTATGGCCAAGCAAACTGTGTTGACTGTGCAGCCATATGTGTTCAATAGAAAGTACAAATCTTTGACTAAATAGTGCAGAGCTTAATAAATTACAAATAGTTTATGTAAGATATAACCTGTGAGTTTCCTGTTAGTGACTCAGGTCTTTGAATTGCATCTATTACTGTTGTAGGAAGACAGACAGATTGCTTACTTTCACTGAGCCTCCTTCTAGCACATACCCTGCTTTCAATGTCACATAGAACATGATTCTAATAATAAATTTTAAAGCATGTGGTAACTGCGGGATTTCTTACCTCACATTTTTTTAACCTCTGGTGTACCTCAAGCCACAACGGACATAGCAACATTTTAGTTGTCCAAATAATTCAAGCCATCAGGCATAGTAACACATTGCATACAAATGTTTTCTGTGTTAAAGGAGGCTGAAACATATTATATAAAATGAACAGTCTAACAGAAGGCAGATGCTCCAGAAGTTTGGAGCTGAGATTAATTGTGTATATATTGATTTATTTAATTTGTGGTAGAGAAAAAGAGATGTTCACTGTATATTCCTTGATGACTTCTGTGCGGCAAAGCATGTGCCTCCTAATCATACCTTTAAAAAATATTTTAAGTTAATATTGGCTTGCCTGATATTAAACAATTTAACTGATAGTGAATACATTTATAATGTTTATTAACAATTTTGGGTAAAAAAATTCCTTGCAAATCTGCAGTTCTTTTGGTATTTTATATTCAACTCATAGTTAGGAAAGAGAGGAAGATTAAGTAGACTGTGTGTTCTTAGGGTGAATCTCAGGAGCTCTAGAATTTTGTTGCCAAGCCCACCAGGGCACACTTTCTGTCACTAGAACTTCTGAAATCCTGATTAAAACAGGCAGTGAAGAAATATGAAATATTCATTAGCATTGTCTTTGATACCAACCTGCCTGGTCTCCAGTTTGCATGTTATCTCTGCCTGTGACTTTGCTCCTACAGTACCCTGTTTTGATTGACCTCCGTTCAACGCCTTTCTCATTCTCCAAAGTCCGGTGCCAGCTACAACTCTTGCACTGACTTCTTGGATTATTGAAGCCTGCATTGGATTCTTTTCCCCTTGAAATCCTACAGCTTTTATCATGTCATTCATTTAGGCAGTTTCATTGTAATCTACATTCATTATCCTGATATTTATGTGTTTTGCATGAGTGTTTTGCTTACCCAACTTGATGCCCAATGTGTTTATTAAGGGCAGGGGTATGTAAGACTATTTGCATCCATTGCAACACCTGCCAGTAATGGACACAATCAATAACATGTTGAGTGAACAAACTTTCTGCAGTTGTACTTCTTTATCTGCTTCTAGGTCATTTTTGAACTGTTGCATCTTTGCTAACCACTTCACTTTATCGGAGAAGAAATTTGGGGGAGAAAGCAAAGAAAGAAGGGACTCACATTTGCTGAGTATCTTTATGCAGCAGGCATGATGCTGGGCTTTCATCCCTCCTTACCTCATTTCATTCTCAAGATAACCATATGTGGTAGGTTAGTATTATTCCCATTTTACAGTTTAGGAAACTGAGGCACATAGCTTGTAAGTGGCAGAGGAAGTTCAAATTAAAGGCTGTTTATCTCCCAAGACTGTTCATTCTAACACAACATGCTGCCTCACAGATATCTAAAAATAAATTTTAAAAATTTGAACAGATGTCATCTATTGTATAAAAACAATATACACAAAAATCTTAGTTCATTATATATTGGAATATTAAAAAAGATTTCTTGATTTGTAAACTAATACAGTATAGTATAAAACTCCATGAATATATTTTCAATAATTTATAAATCGTTGTATAAAAGAAAAGAAAAGAAAAGCATAACTCTTGAGTAAAGCCACTATTATCATTTATATACAAAATCTAAATGTGTATTTTGGAGAAAAACTTGGCTTTTATTTCATATTTGTAAACTTTACTTATATACCTGCTCTAATACAGGAATTATTGATGTCAATTTAAAATATCATGATTTCTAATTCATCCTAATATGAATGTTAATATTATGGAATGATAGTCTTTTTTTTAAACATATTGATTATACATATTTGTGGTGTACAGCATTATATTTCAATACATGTATACAATGTGATGATCAAATCAGGGTAATCAGCATATCCGTCATTGCAAAACTTAATCATTTCTTTGTGATGTGGACATTTGATCTCCTCTCTTCTGGCTATTTAATAACACACAGTAAATTATTGTTAATTATAGATGCCTCATTCAATTGCACACCAATAGAACTTATTTTTCCTATCTAGCTGTTTTGTGTTCATTAACAAACCTCTTGCTCTCCCCCCACCACTGCCCCTTTCCTGACCCTAGTAACCACAGTTCTACTCTCTCCTTCTGAAAATTCACCTTATTATTTTTATTTATTTGTTTATTTTATTTTGTTTTTTCAGCTCCCACATATGAGTGGGAACATGCAGTATTTCTCTTTCTATGACCGGCTTATTTCACTTAACATAATTTTCTCCAGTCTTATCCATGCTGCTGAGAATGGCAGAATTTTATTCTTTTTTATGGCCAAGTAATATTCCACTATGTATATATACCACATTTTCCTTTTCCAGTCAACCCTCAGTGTACATTTAGGTTGGTCCCATATCTTGGCTATTTGTGAATAGAGCTTTGATAACCATGGGAGTGCAGGTATCCCTTCAACATGATGATTTCCATTGTTTTGGGTTTACCTAGAAGTGGGATTCCTGGATTGTACGGTAGTTCTGTCTGTAGTTGTTTGAGAAACCTCTGTACTTTTTCCCATGATCGCTTCACTAATTTACAGGCCCATCAACAGTGTATAATGGTTCCCCTTCTTCTGCATCCTCATCAACATTTGTTATTCTCTGTCTTTTTGATAATAGCCAGTCTAACCGGGGTGAGATGAAATCTCAATATAGTTTTGATTTGCAGTTCTCTGATGATTAGTGATGTTGAGCATTTTTTTTCATGTACCTGTAGGCCATTTGTATGTCTTCTTTTGAGAATTGTCTGTTCAACTCTTTTGCCCATTTTTTGATTGGATTATTTGGATTTTTTTTTTTTTTACTATTAAGTTGTTGGAGTTCTTTGTATATTCTGGATATTATTCTTTTGGTATTTATTTGTGAAATTGTTCTATATTTATTTATTTAACAGTGATTTGAATTCTTAGAGCCTACTTCATGTGAAGGAGCTTGCTTGGGGCTGAGTGTTAGGAATTATGTGTTTTGTTTGCTCCAAGATATCTATAGACTAGTGGAGGGACAGTTGTAGTGACAGCAAATACAAAGGAGTGACTGAAGAAGTTTGGGGAGTGGGATGAGGGGAAGTGGTAACCGATGGTTCTAGTCTGAGTGCCTCAAGTTTCCAGACTTGAACGTAGGTATGGTGGGAAGCGTCCTACCCCAGTGCACTGTGGATGTTAGAGTCTTAAGGTAAAGAGAGTTCTCATTCTTGGTCACGAGCATGTTAAATGATAGCTGAGTACATTTGAATAGAGGTAAGTGTGAATATTATTCCCAATGTTTCTTTTTTTTAATTCCTCAGCGCCCATAACCCAGGGAACTGGAGTCAACTTCCCAATTGGAGAAATCCCGAGCCAACCATACTATCATGACATGAACTCGGGGGTCAATCTTCAGAGGTCGCTGTCTTCTCCACCAAGCAGGTAACTGAAAGGAGCCACTCAGATTCTCAGTCTTTATGCACATAGGTAGGTAGGTAGATAGATATGTGGATAGATAGGTAGGTAAAAGGAGAAGGGATATATAGCAAAGAGTTTTTGCTGATAGTACAGATTTTTAATCTCTTCTGGTTAAATTAATTTTGATATTTGCAAATTAAATGTAATTTTTGTTTAAAGCTTTTTGAGGGAGGCAACGGAACTATGAAAATCTATTAATATCATTTTCATCCTGTTGTATGAAATATTATAAATCTATTAACTATTTCTTTTGGCAACTTTAAAAATGATGTTGCCATGGCAATGATCCCTGGTTTATTACTGATCCATTCCTGGTAACTTGGGGTAATAAGACATGAAAAATAAAATGTGCCATTTACCTACCTTAAAATTAAAGGCCTTATTCTAGGCCACAGTTTGCCAAGTTTTTCAATTAGTTGATGTTCTTTGAATAATTTAGTTAACTCTCAGTTACCAATGAAAATATTACCCTCTCTGAGATTTGGTTTAACCAGCCATTGTTGGGGACGACCTACAGTGAGGTCTCACTCTCATTTTCTTTCTTGACCTTCTAATTGTAACTTTCAGTCAAGATGAAATAAATATGGTAGCTGAATTGTTTTCGTTTCTGTTTTGAGTTGGATCTTTACCATATGAATAGCCATCTCATTTTCAGAGCATTAAATTTTCCATGATCAAATATGAGTACATGAATTTCAGAGCAAAACATACTTCATATAATGTTAACTTTTTAAAAATAACACTATCTGAATAATTGTTTTGATAAGCTAGTCTCAGGAATGACAGTTAGTAGATTTGAATTAATTAGGTCACTATGCATATTCATATATTTATAAACTAAGGTCAATTTTATGTCATTTGTAGTCAAACTGTATTTTTATATAGTTAGATTGTATAGCAAGACAATTGGGTTTATTATTAATAAAAGTGTCTCTGACATGTTGAGGTCTTAAAAATACTTTAGCTTTTCTAAATTTAAAATTTGAATAGTAATTTTCTATTTTATTTGCTGGATCAGTGTGTTGTCAACACAGATCTTTTCTCACGGCCACTGAGTATCAGATACTATGTTTTTAGGGATAAACAAGATTATAAAAACATTTCTTTATTATTTCCTTATACAAATACTTTCTTCCCTATTTTAAGTTTTCCATACATATTTACTGCTGACTCACAGACAGGAGAATTAGATTAAAAGGAGAGTTAAAAAGTATGAGTTCTAACTTTGGATACCTTAGGAAGAAACTAAAGAAATATCATTCTTACCATGGGTTAGCATGGTCAGAAACTGTCATCTTCTACATCATGTTGATACTCTGGGAGTTGTGAGTCAAATGTCAATCATGACTGTATCTGCAAATATACTCAGACATAAACATGCTTCAAGGGCTTGGAAACATAGTGCAGTGAAAAAAGCTCTGTCCTGGAAGTCAGAATTCCTTACTTCAGGTCTAACTGCTTCCATTAATTTGCACTGGGCAATCCACTGATTTTCTCCAAATTTGTCTTCCCATTTGTGAAAAAGTGGGGGAGGGGGATTGGTTTAGGTACATCATTTCTTTTCTTTTTTTTTTTTTGTCCTTTTTGAGACCGGCAGCACCGCGCTCAGCCAGTGAGCGCTGTGAGCACACCGGTCATCCCTATATAGGATCCGAACCCGCGGCGGGAGCGCTGCTGTGCTCCCAGCACGGCACTCTCCCGAGTGTGCCACGGGCTCGGCCCTAGGTACATCATTTCTGAGGTCAGTTTTAACTCTGTAATCTTGTGATTCGTTAGCACTGAATTTACAAGCATGAATGTGAATAAGAAATTTGTTTTAAATTAAAGAAAAAATATCCATTTTCATTATTAATAATTAGCTGTTTGATAGGGTATTGGTGGATGTATATGAAAGTAGTATATTAAGCAATATGGCCTATATCGTAAAATTACATTTTAATCTTTGTTCTACAAATTTACTTTTCTTAATAATTGAGACAAGCAATGGTTTTGTTATTAAAATGTGTCATTTTAAAAGTATACCATTTGGTATGAATTTGGCAATGGCTTTTTTCCTGTGGTTGATCTTAAGAATAAAGGATCAATAGCTTATTTTTTTAGGCAAAAGTAAAGGAGAACATGTGAAATGTATTATAATAAGCAAGGTACTGTAAAATATCTTTAATATTTTTAATTATAAGGTTGCTAATAATAATTACTATTTAATAACTATCTTCTAAATGCTAGCCATTTAAATAAGAACTTTACATTTAATAACTCATTTAATTCTCTCAACCTTCCTACTTTGAACTAGGTTTTATTATTTCCATTTTACAGATGATTAAACTGGGTTTAGAAATGCAAAGGAGCTTACTATTAAGAACTAATAAGTGGTCTAGTCAAGATTTGATAGTAGGCCTGTCTGATCCAAGTTCTTGTTCTACTCTGCTCCATTACCTTGTCTTTGAATTAATATGAGAAGATTAAATTGTGGATGGCAAATGCTATACAAGTAAACATTATTAATATCAATAATAATTATGAGGAGTTAGGTACAATCTTAATAACACAATGTCAATATTAGCTGATAAACTACATTGAGTTCATTTTTTATTACTGAAATTTTCTCAGAAATGTACATTTGCAAAGGTAAATGTAATGAATATCATATTTGTTAGGCAGGTATAGATATAAGATGGTATAATAAATGGTATATATACAACTAGAAATGTTTGCTGTTCCTGTTAATGTTCTTAATACCATTATTTCAAAATGGTCCTGAGATGCTATTACTTGTGTTTATGGAAATTTCCACAGTAAGAAACTTCTCAAATCATTTACTTTCAGGTGCTACCCATCTTCCCAGAAATCCCATTAATTATTGTCATATTTTAACAGCAAAAGACCCAAAACTATATCCATAGATGAAAATATGGAACCAAGTCCTACAGGAGACTTTTACCCCTCTCCGAATTCACCAGCTGCTGGAAGTCGAACATGGCATGAAAGAGATCAAGGTGAGCCCTAAGCAGATGCCTCTAGAGATATTGGAGTAAAATGTTGGCTTATTTCATAAATTTCATTCAGTCAAAATGTTATAATTGAACCAATATGGATTCGATTTTCTTCATGAAATTATTGCAGTAAAATTATTTTTAGGATAATATACTAGTGAAATGTTGTCAAAGTTGTTACAAAAAATTCCATGTTTTACGTTTTTTTGGACTTTTTTTTCCAGACATAGTGATCTTTTAGAACCCCCAGTTAGTTATGTGTGTGACTGATTATCTATCACCTGTCTTCATTAGTTGGTTGGACTGTAGCAGAACCACAAATTCTGATTCAATTTTGCTCCTCTCTATGGGGCATTTCAGGGAGGAGCAAACTTTAAGCAGTTTGCAGGTGCCAGGTGCTGAAAATTCTCACTTAAGCCATAATTCCTTTGGCGAGTAGGTAGAGCATAAGTGGTAAATAAAAGCATAATGTAAGAAACTTGTGTCTGAGTCAATCTAGCCATGTTTTCTAGATAAAACTATGACCCAGTTCTAGGGCATCTTTGAGGAGAAATATAGCTGTATAAAACAGGTATTATTTGGCTTTCTGGGTTCAGACTTGGCTCTTTTCCTTTCTTAAAGTCTATAGGATTTGATATATTTCATTGTATTTACCTATGCCTTTCCTCACAATTAGAGGGACATTATTGTTTTTTTATGTGTGTCTTCCACTCTTTTTCTGCCTTCTCTGATTTTATTTTGTTTTTTTTTAATTGTGGTAAAACATGTATAACATAAAAATTTCCATTTTAAGCATTTCTATACATATGATTGCATGGAATTAATTACATTCACAATGCTATGCAGAGGGACATTATCAAGCATGGAAGTGGAAAGATTAGCTAACTACAAATTTTGTTGGTTGCGTGTATGTGTACAAGTAAGATTATATATCAGCAGCATAAAGATGTATTTGAGAATTATCTTTTAAATCAAATTCTGCATTTTGTTTTTAAATGTAAAAAAAGGAGCTCTTTATCTATGGTTTTAGCCTAAGACTTGGGTGTGTATAGTGGGGGTTGGGGAGCTGTATGTTGAGTAATTTTAGTAGACAAATCACTCTGGAGCTAAGCAGTTAAGGCCAAAGTCAGTTCCTTATTCAAGTTCTCTTTTTTGCTGCTTTGAATTTTCATACCAATTACCATAGGGGTTAAAGAATAGTGAAAAATCTTCATGGAGGCACTGGACTTTGAATCCGGTGGGTCTCCTTTAGCATGCTGAGATTTTAACAAGTAAAGAAGCGAGGGGGCATAAGAATAAGTTCTGGTGCCTAGGGTGACAATAGCTAATAATATTGCATATTTCAAGATAGCCAGAAAAGCAGGTCAGCGGATCTTGAATGTTATGACCACAAAGAAATGATACATGTTTAGGTGATAGGGAAAAAAAGTGAGGGGTTGGAGAGTGGGGCGAGGGACAGAGACAAAAGCATATTTAAGTGTTGAGTTGGAGAAGTAAGTTCAAGAATGGCCATGTGTGCTGTGTGGCTGGACACTGTGCACATGGAGAGAAATAATGGGAGATGATAGGGGTCCTTTTACAGAAAGATTTGAAATCAGCTGGAGAGTTTCAGCTCTGAGATCTCTCCACCAGTCCATGCTTCAGGCAGTGGACAAAAACCATCTTGATAAATGTAAATGGCATCATATCACTCCCCTGCTTCAGATCCTTCAGTAACTTCCCACTGCTCTCAGGAGAAAATCAGAATCCCACCTACGACCGGCAGTCCTGGCTCTGACCACCACTGTAGCTGCACTGGGTGCCGTTGTGCTGCTCCTTCTTCCTTGCACCTGAGCCCACTGCTTTGTTTAGATTTGGGAACACAATACCCAGGACCTTCATTAAGCCATGCCCTCTGGAATGCTTTTCTTCTAACTCTTCATCTGGCAAATTCTTTGTCATCCTTCAAGGCCCAGCTTAAATTGAGGAATTTTAGTCTAAATCAGGTCTTCCTGTTTTTCTCTCAGGACGTTGTTCCTTCATTGTACTCATATATGTAATAATATATTTATTTATGGGATTAATTGTCTAAATCTGTCTACACTGTGAGGGCAGGGACCTCCTGTGTTTTGGCTACTGCTGTAACCAGCACCTAACACAATATTTGGTGCATAGTAGGGGCATAATGAATATTTGCTGGATTAATGAACGATTGATAGGGAGAACACCCATCTCATTAGAAGAGACAAGAAATAATAGAGACATTTACTAAAGTTGCAGAAGAGAGAATAAAAACGGAACTCAACCCTTTATTGCTTGTTTTACTGACATTGTCAGTTATTCTAATCAAAGCCATATTTTCCCTGTCAGAAAATTATTCTGCAAAAGATTCTAATGGTAATAATAATAACATTGTGAATATTTGTGTATGGATGCATTCGGAAGTGTAGGTGTTCTTTATTATAGAAAGTATCATTTTGTAAGAATAGATTTCTCTTTCAGCCTATTGAATAAAGCCAATATTAAGCCATATTATATAACATTTTTGAAAAGTAGAAGGGAAATTGTCATTCTTTCTCTTTGTAAAATCATTGTATTTACTTACTGATTTTCTTTTGTCAAGATGGCTAGAATTATTGGAGAAGTCTGTAGAGGCATATTAAGAGTAAGGAAGGATGTTCTATTTTCAGAAAAAAATTCTGTTATTTTAAATCTGAAGACTTTGTAATGTAAACAATCAGCTATTATTGTGGGAGGAAGACTTCAAGTACATGAAAAAATGAGGGCAGAACAGTACTATCTTTATAAATTCACTAAGACCAGTGCAGTCCTTTTGTTGTTAAGAAATTGCTTTTTTAAAGTTTGCAAAATGAAATGCCCCATGATTGTTCTTGTCCATCTTCAAATGCTCTTTAAACACTTTCCTGTCATGAAGGAAGTTGTCAAAAGCACATATGGGGTACAACTCCGAAAATTGTAGTGGCTTTAACATGTCTTCTACTTATTTCTCCCACAAAACCCTGCACTAATTGGTACTCAGAAACTTATTGGTTGATTAAAATATTTTTGTGTTTATAATTGGCAGAAATTCTTAAAATTTACTATTATTTCCTGGGTATGCCTTATTTTGTTAGTGTTAACTCTGTATTAAAATCTATTCTTGCCTTAGCCCTTAGCATAACTGATTTTTGAAATATGAGCATCAAAGATAACAAAATTATGGACAATATGTGGCATTCTACTTTCCCTTACAATCTGAAATGCCAAGCTAAACCATTGAGATTTAGTTCGACAAGGCAAAAATAAAGGATATAATATGACCAAATTATGATATCTATTTTATTTTAAAATGAAGTTAGGTAAACTATTAATAAAAAGTCTAGATTCATGTAATGACATATGTTTATGTAATTTTTAACAATTTAATATATAATATGACCAAATTATGATATCTATTTTATTTTAAAATGAAGTTAGGTAAACTATTAAGTCTAGATTCATGTAATGACATATGTTTATGTAATTTTTAACAATTTAATGAAGTATTTTATTTTAGCATCTTACAAACATAATCACATATTTGTATCTTTTCAAAACAAAAAATGTTACAGTTTCCTGATCATAAAAGAATTTTAATTTATAATTTTGCAAAATATTGAACATGGATATTTTTAAACCAAATACTACTTAGTAGTGTTAAAAATTTGGTAAGGGGCTATATAATTTGCTTAAATTTCTTCCAATGAATAGTGATAGAAATTAAATTTGTCAACATTTATATTATGTAATATTTATATTTTTACTTTTACACATAGAGAAGAAAAACAAAAAAGAAAATACTGGGCCGCTAACAAACTACATTCCTTTCCTAAGTTCCAGAATATTTCTCCTTGCTTAGTCTCTTCTGTGAATCCCCTGGTCTTAAACTTCTGACTGCCTCTACCTCTATTAAAAACTTTCTTTTTTGGGTACTGTTTTTCACCATTTAAGATTTTAATTTAGTGAATAGAATCAGGCTAGTGTATCAATATGCAGGTTGAAATTTTCTTTTATTTCAATACTTACTCCACAAAAAATTCCATTGAGATCTTGTCTACCTCAAATTTTTCCTACCTGAGTCAATTCAGATACTCAGTTCCTAGTTGATGTACTTTTCTTGAAATCATTAGAGCAATCCTTTGTAACTTCCAATAAAAGGGGAAAAATAAGAGACAGGTAGGTCATGGTTTTTTCTGTAGTTCAAGTTACTTTCATGGGACTAAATATAGTTGTATGCCTAGGAGTTTAACAGACTTATCAATTGT